TCTTATAGTGCTGAGGCAATGGGGATGTCAGGAGGGGAGAGGCTGTGACTACCATGAAAGATTACTCTACCACATCAGCTCTAGATTATTAAATATGGTTTTCGGTGGGCGAGCAGGTGCGACTACTGGATGGCATATGTTCTGTATCAGAAACTAGAGCTGATGTGGTCTATCCAATGCCATTTTCTGAATCAGCAGCCCAAATAACCAAACTGAATCTAAAGTTGACCAAAAACTGATTTGTAACCCTTTCGGTACTAATGTTGGAGAGTGGTCCCTGGACAAAAAAAAAGTTGGGAACCACTGCTTTAGTTTCATGGAATTTGGCCGGGCTTACTTCTGTGTAAAGGCACATATGATTGTGTAATTAATAGAATGTGCAAAAGGTAAATTTCCTGCTTGTTTACAAAGTGAACATCTTTCAGATATAGGATTCAGAATGCTAATTATATGTAACAAACAGGTGCCTCCATAGAAGTTGACTGTAAAGTCAAAATAATACTTGCAACATATTACAGAGTATATTTATTTGAAACAGAGATCATCTCCTATGATCTCATTTCTTCTCCTTTTGTAATGCATTCTTTATTTCATTTGTATGCTGCCTTTCTCCCACAGTGACACCCAAGGTGGCTCCCAAATAAACTCAATTAAAAAACTTCAACAATAAAGTTTGCAAAACAGACTTTTATTGTGTCCACACACTGGACACAATAAAATCATTTAAAAGACTGGGCTGCTTTGAGTTTTCCAGGCTGTATGGACATGTTTCAGAAGCATTCATCGACCAGTGTTTAGAGCTTAGGTGTCGTCCTGGATTCGCAGCTGACAATGGAAGCTCAGGTCACTGCTGCCAGCAAACAGGCCTTTTCCCATCTATGACAAGCGAGGCAACTGGCACCCTACCTATCTGACGAGGCTCTGGCAACTGTCATCCATGCCACGGTCACGTCTAGGCTGGACTATTGCAACGCCCTGTATGTTGGCCTTCCGATGTCTACAACCCGAAAGCTCCGTATTGTTCAGAATGCGGCAGCCAGGTTACTCACAAGAACGCCCATGAAATACCATATAACACCAGTGCTGCAACATTTACATTGGCTTCCAACTGAGTACCGTGGCCTGTATAAGATGCTAGTTCTGACCTTTAAAATTCTTTACGGCCAGGGTCCATCGTACCTTAGGGATCGCCTTTCCTTCTCCCATCATCGGAAGTCGCAACGACCAGCCCAACGCAACTAACTCTATATACTGGGTCCTAGAGAAGTGCACTTGGAAAGTACCAGACACAGGGCTTTTTCTATTTCTGCCCTGCCTTATGGAATTCCTTGCCGCCCTATATGAGAGCCATGCATGACTTAGGGCCTTTTACTCTAGCATTTAAAACCTGGCTTTTTACTAGAGCATTCGATCTCTGTTAATTTTTAAATTCTGCATGTATGTATTTTATCTTTTACAATTTAGCTGTGAATTGCGTAGAGCATTCTCAGATGGAGGGCAATTAATAAGTAATTAAATATGATGATGATGATGATGATTCTCTCCTGACGTTTCATCCACATGTATGGCAGGCATCTTTAGAGGTTGAGGGGTCTGTTGGAAACTAGGCAAGTGAGGTTTATATATCTGTGGAATGTCCAGGGTGTAAGAAAGAACTCTTGTCTGTATGAGGCAGGTGTGAATGCTGCAATTGACCACCTTGATTAGCATTGAATGGCCTTGCAGCTGCAAAGCCTGGTTGTTTCCCGCCTGGGGGAATCTTTTGTTAGAATCCTCCCACTCTGGACATTCCACAGATATATAAACCCCACTTGCTTAGTTTCCAACAGACCTCACAACCTATGAGGATGACTGCAATAGATGTGGGCGAAACGTCAAGAGAGAATGCTTCTGGAACATAACCATACAGTCTGGAAAACTCACAGCAAGCCAGGGATTCCCGCCATGAAAGCCTTCAATAACACATTTAAAAGACATTCAAACTTTAAAAAATAAATAAATAAAACACACGGTCCAGTAACTGTGTGCCTGCTTGAACAATTGATCTTTGCAGAGAGGGCAGGAAAGCACCTAGACTAATCTCCAGTGGAAGGGAGTTCCAGAGGAACTAGATTGCACCATTATTTCATTAGTGTTGGCGCCAGTGGAAAAGTGGTACTACTCGATCGGAAGTGGTATCACACTTAAGACATCTCATATCAAAGGAGGAAATTCAATAAATGACTTTTTCTCTCTGCTTGCTGAGGAAAGCTTCACCTAATTAACTTTGCTTATTAGGACAGTGAGGGTTGTGTGTGTGTGTGGGGGGGGGGGGGGGGAGAGAGATGAAAGCTTGCCTATCCTTATTTGGAATTAAGTCCAACTGCAATTAGTTGGCTCTTACTTTCAAGTAACCACAATGAGTCAGGGTGCTTTTACATCTATCTCAGCTAAATACCTGATATTCTATTTATCTATCTGTTCCAATAATGGCCCTGGGACCTCATGAGAGCCCATCTTTGAGTGTTAGACTACAAACCTGGAGACCAGGGAACAAACCCCTGCACCCCACCCACCTTGACCATGGAAACCACCTGGTTTTCTTTTTTGTGTCAGGAGTGATTTGAGAAACTACAAGAATTGGCTGTCTGCAAGGACGTTGTCTAGGAGACGCCCGGATGTGTTACCACCCTGTGGTAGGCTTTTCTTATGTCCCTGTCAGGAAAGGTAGAGCTGACAGACAGGAGCTCCCCCCACTCCCAAGATTCGACCTTTCGGTTAGTAGTCCTGCCAGCTCTGTGCCACCTGGGCAAATTTGGGCAAGTCAATGTGCACTGCAGAAAGAACACATTTTAAAGTGATGTCAAACCGCATTAATTCTAAATGCACCCACACACTCTCAGCCTCAGAGGAAGGCAAAGGCAAAACTCCTATGAACAAAACTGAATGAAGACTTTGAACACAGCCACAACAATCCCACTTTATTAATTTTATAGATCAATATGTTTTTATTTTTAAAAATCTATTATTCAGAACCCCCCCCCTCCCAAAAAGCACAGAAATAAAAACAGAAATTAATAATAATAATAATAAACGGAGTTGTTATGAATTTTCTGGGCTATATGGCCATGTTCTAGAAGCATTCTCTCCTGACGTTTGCCCATATCTATGGCAGGCATCCTCAGAAGTTGTGATGTCTGTGGGAAACTAGGCAAGTGAGCATTATACATCTGTGAAATGTCCCAGGTGGGAGAAAGAACTCTTGTCTGTTGGAGGCAGGTGTCAATGTTGCAATTAGCCACCTTGATTAGCATTGAATGGCCTTGCAGCTTCAAGTCCTGGCTGCTTCTTGCCTGGGGTAATCTTTTCTTGGGAGGTGCTAGCTGGTCCTGATTGTTTCCTGTCTGGAATCTTTCTCTGAACCTGGACCTTCCACAGATATATAAACCCCACTTGCCTAGTTTCCAACAGACCACACAACCACTGATGATGCTTGCAATAGATATGAGCGAAACATCAGGAGAGAATGCTTCTGGAACATGGCCATACAGCCCAGAAAACTCACAACTATTCAGTGATTCCAGCCATGAAATCCTTTGACAACACATAATAATAAAACTTTATTTATATCCCACCCCATCTCCCAAAAGGGACTTGGGGCAGCATTACAATTGGACTTTGTTGACTTTAAGAGGACCACTTCTCCCATAATCCCCCAGAACTGTGGACCCTAAATGCTAGCTTTTCCATAAATAATATATGTTTGTGTGTATGTATGTGGGATGGACATTGTATGCACGTGTGTACATCACACACACATAGAGTAGACTTTCAGTTAACCAGCACCCATGGGGATTGGTTGATGGTAGATAAGTGTAGTTTCTGGCTGCTTTTTTTATCATGTCAGAAGCGACTTGGGAATATATTGCAAGTTGCTTCTGGTGTGAGAGAATTGGCCGTCTGACAGGACATTGCCGAGGGGATGCCTGGATGTGTTGCCATCCTTTGGGAGGCTTCTCTCATATCTGACTGCTTATGAGTTATTATTAAAATAGGCCTAATACTGTACCCTATCCCATACCACAGCATCAACTCTGTATTGATTTGATACTCATATTGAAATACAGTAATTCAAGACAAACTTAATGTAAGACACTTTTATTATAATACATGTGTATTTAAATTTGTTTATGTTTTGCCAATTGCTTGAAAGTTCTGGTTAACTGGGAGTCTGGGTTGTTGTGAGTTTTCCAAGCTGTATGGCCATGCTCTAGAAGCATTCTCTCCTGAAGTTTTGCCTGCATCTATGGCAGGCATCCTCAGAGGTTGTAAGACCTCACAACCTCTGAGGATGCCTGCCATAGATGTAGGTGAAATGAGAATCATAAGCGTTGGAAAGACGTCATGGGCCATCCAGTCCAACATCATTCTGCCAAGAAGCAGGAAAAATTGCATTCAAAGCACCCCTGACAGATGGCCATCCAGCCTCTGTTTAAAAGCTCCAAAGAAGGAGCCTCCACCACACTGGGGCAGAGAGTTCCACTGCTGAACAGCTCTCACAGTCAGGAAGTTCTTCCTAATGTTCAGATGGAATCTCCTTTCTTATAGTTTGAAGCCATTGTTCCGCGTCCTAGTCTCCAGGGAAGCAGAAAACAAGCTTGCTCCCTCCTCCCTATGACTTCCCCTCACATATTTATACATGGCCATCATGTCTCCTCTCAGCCTTCTCTTCTTCAGGCTAAACATGTCCAGCTCTTTAAGCCGCTCCTCATGGGGCTTGTTCTCCAGACCCTTGATCATTTGAGTCGTCCTCCTCTGGACACATTCCAGCTTGTCAATATCTCTCTTCAATTGTGGTGTCCAGAGAGATATTGACAAGCTGGAATGTGCCCAGAGGAGGGCGACTCAAGGGACCTGAAGCTGTTAGGAATGGTGGGAGTTGGAGTCCAAACCACCTGGCGGGAGGGCCCAAGTTTGCCCGTGCCTGCTCCCTAGGGCCAGGCCACTCCTGGGAGGCTTACCTGAGAAGGTGTCCAAGGCGGTAGGCTGGTACTGGTCGGGGTACCCGTTGGTGGTGTAGCTGACGATGAGGCTGGTTTTGCCCACCGCCCCGTCGCCCAGGAGGACGCACTTGACGCCCAGCTCGGAGCCCCGGCTCGGGCTGCTGCTGCACCGCTTCCTCCTCCGCCGCAAAGTGGGCGAGTAATCCAGCAGCTCCTGCGGAGGCATCCTCGGCGGAGGAGGACGAAGAGGCGCCTCTCCTTTGCCCAACTTGGCTCCCTTGAAGCAAAGAATGCTTTAGGAGGCAACGACGACCGGTTCTTTCTTTTTTTTTTAACAGCAAGCTTTCAGAGTCCCTGAGAATGGGAGGCCGGGGCCTAAAGTGGGTCGGTGGGGGCTTTCCACGCGCGGCGGGAGTGTCTCTTTCCGCGGGACGGCATCCCTCAGCTGCCCCGAAGCCGGAGAGAAGCAATGGGAAAGTTTCGGTGGTGGTTCCTCACCAGGGCGGGATTCCCACCTTTGCCTTCCCTTCCCAGACCTGTATGGGCGTGGTTTTTTTTTTTAAAGTCAAGCACTGTGATTTGCATGGGCCCGCCCTTTGCCTGCCAACTTGACTCAAGTACTTCAGCCAAAGGCCCTTCCACACAGCCCTTGATCCCAGAATATCAGGGCAGAAAATCCCACATTATCTGAGCGTGGACTCATATAACCCAGTTGAAAGCAGATATTGTGAAATTTCCTGCCTTGATATCCTGGGTTATAGGGCTGTGTGGAAGGGCCCCAGATCCTGGGATATAATCATCATCATCATCATCATCATCATCATCTTATATAAATAAAAATGTTATGTTCATTTGTGAGATTAACATAACACAAAAACCACTGGATGTGGGGGTAACGATGGCCGACAGGGAGTTCTGGCGTGGGCTGGTCCTTGATTAGCATTAAATGGCCTTGTAGCTTCAAAGCCTGGCTGCCTCCTGCCTGGTGGAATCCTTTGTTAGGAGGTGTTAGCTAGCCCTGATTGTTTCCTGTCTGGAATTTTCCTGTTTTCAGAGTGTTGTTCTTTATTTACTGTCCTGATTTTAGAGTTTTTAAAATACTGTTAACAAGATTTTGTTCATTTTTATGGTGTCCTCCTTTCTGTTGAAATTGTCTACATGCTTGTGGTCTGACATAGTGGTTGTCCAGAGGACAGTTTCTCTAAAAGTTTGTAGAGAAATCACAACTCAGTAGGTTCAATTAATGGTGCATTTTTTAAAATAACAGAATGACTTGCACAATACAGATTTAAAGCATAGTCACTGTTTCGTTTACACAAATATTTTTGATGTGGGAAATGTTGTTGAGTGCCTTCAAGTTGTTTCTGATGTATGGTGACCCGAAGGCAAAACTCTCACAGGGTTTTCTTGGCAAGATTTGTTCAGAGAGCCACTGCCTTCATCTGAGCCTTTGTTCAGAGGGGGTTTGCCTCTGTATTCTCTGAGGATGAGAGCGCGTGACTTGCTTAAGATCAGTAGATTTCCATGGCTGAGTGAGGATCTGTACCTTGGCCTCTAGAGTTATAGTCCAGTCAGGGGCGGCTCAACCCATTACGCAAAGTAAGCATTCGCAGTATAGTTGATTTTGCCCAGGGGCGCTCTTGAGGCGCTCTTGGGGGAAAATAGACCTTGACATATGCGAGTTGTAGTTAGTGGGATGTATAGTTCATCTAAAATCAAAGAGCATTCTGAACTCAACCAATGATGGAATTAAACCAAATATGGCACACAGAACTCCCATGACGAACAGAAAATATATATCAATGATTGGTTGGGGGCGGGGGGCGGCGGCAAAATAGTTTGCTTACCGTTAAAAATTACCTAGGGCTCAAACCACTACACCACTACACCACGCTGGCTCTCACAACATGACTACTAGATGTGGCAATATGAATAATAATACTTTATTTATAACCTGCCCTATCTCCCCGAGGGGACTCAATGGACACTATGGTTGAGGGAGAAAGAGGCAGGGCCCTCCTGAGGCAAGAATGCAGGTGACCGAGCAGATGGAGAGCTGAGTATCCAAAGAAAAACCCCAAAGAAATAGTGGCCTTAAAAATGAGAAATTTTGCCACAAAAATTAGGCAAGAAAAGAAGGAAGGGCTGCAGGCAAATCATGTTTACATAGCCATTTGCACCATTTGGTAGGTTCCCTGCTCTTTTTTCTTCCCAACCAATTCTGCAAAAGTTTCCTGCCCCCCCCCCCCACCCGTCCCCCGTCCATCCCCCATCCCAAAGCATTATATTCCAAAAACTTCATTCTTTCCTCTCAAAAAGGATCAAACTCCATTTCTGACAGATATTTCTAAAGAGCGTCAAGAAGCAGAGCATAGCAACAAAAGACAAAGGAAAGGGCAGTGAGTGTATCACATTTCTTATGTCCTGTAAACATATGATAAACAAACAAGTCTAGGCTTTATGAAAGTGATGCAATCTTTGTCCAAGAAGGGCCTCTTGGTTCTCGTGGCTCTTTCAGTAGCTTTTGGTACCCTCAACCATGGTATCCTTCTAGACTGCCTCTCTACAATGGGACTCTGTTCCTTCCTGAAGGGACGAACCCAGAAGGTGCTGCTGGGGGATTCCTGTTTGACCTCCTGGTCAGTGACCATTAGGGCTCTGTTTTGTTCCCCCTGCTATTTAAGATATTCATGAAACTGCTGGAAAAGGTCACCTGGAGTTTTGGGGTGTGGTGCCATCTATATGCAGATGACACTCAGCTCTGCCACTCCCTTCCACCTAAAGCCAAGGAAGCTGCTCTGGTTTATTATTGTTGTTATATTTATTTATACCCCACATCATCTCTCCCGAAGGGGACTCAAAGTGGCTTGCCATAAAAGCGGCAGCTTAACTATTTAAGTTATACAAATATACGAACATTAAAACAGAATTAAATATTAATAGTATTTAGAAAATCCCCAGTTTATTTTATTTGTCGTATCAGAAGCGAACCGAGGGTACAGTTGTAATTTTTTTTAAAGCAACAGTTTAAAAACTTGACATTATGCTAAATGTCCTTTGACTAGTAGCTGGTCACTTGGAGTGCCTCTGGTGTTGCTGTAAGAAGGTTCTCCATTGTGCATGTGGTAGGGCTCAGATCAGTTGGAAAGCAGAGGTATACCAAAAAGAAAAATGGGTTCCCCTAAAACTGTGGGTCAAGTACAGATTTTAGAGGTGCTTACTCCACCCAGAGACACTGACTTTCAAACTAAACTTTTACAAAGGGAATCCTTCTAGATCTTTACCCTGCAAACAGAACTTCCAAAAGGGTTAAACAACACCAATTCATATGACTGTTTTTTGTAACAGAGTAGGTTTTACCCCAATGTATTCTGAACTGATAATGATGTCACTATCACCTGACCAATGGACTTGCTATATTAGTAATGGGTTGAGTTATTTTTATCCTATACTCGCCACAGAATAAAACTCGTTGCAGAGTATATTGCTCAACAAAGACTAGCTGCGAGTATTATATTATTTTTGTTTCATAGATATTATATTTCTCTATGTATGGTTTATAATTCACGTCACAATGTAATCCTACCTTTAGCCACTATCTATGTCCCCTTAGGATCCACCCCTTCAGAAGACTATTGGTGAATTTCTCACCTCAAAAGTTGAGCTTTTTTGATAATTTGAGTAAGTAGAGTGTCTGTATATATTCTTACAAACTTGATATTACAAATTGTTCAATTGTATGTGTGTATTCATGATATGTGTTGTTTGCAGACCCAACCGCCTGACGAAGGCTCTTGTGAGTCGAAACCGGTTGCAGGTTGGAGTCAATTCATGTGACTACTGGAGTCTACTCATATGTAATAAAGAACAGGACATTTACTCACACGAAGACTTTGTTTTATACTTCAAGAGAAGAACCAGTTGTTTCTACTTAATGTGAATGTGTCAGTCCTGTTTTTTTGATGTGTGTATTTGCAATGTATACATTGAGTTAATTTGGTTATACCATTATCAGTGGATTTTGGTCTCCACAGTAGAAAGCAGACCAGAGAATGGAAATTAGATTTGCAGTTTGGGTATACTTCAGCTTTAAACTTTGATGTCCAGGTTTCTGTGATGGTCCCACTTTTAATGTTTGTGCACCAACTGCTCCCGTTCTTTGAGGTGCCAAACCTGGCCATGGTGGTACATGCCTTAGCTACATCCTGTTTGAATTACAGTAATGTTTCCTGATTGGGACTGATTTTGAAGTATGTTTGGAAACTTCAGATGATCCAGCAGATACCAGATTTTTAAGTGGAGCATGTTACAGGGACCACATTACGCTCCTGTTGCAACACCTGCACTGGCTGTCAGTTTGTTTCCAAGCACAATTCAAAGTGCTGGTTATGGCTACAAAGCCATATATGTTTCAGGCCCAGGCAATCTCACAGGCCTCAGCTCCCTGTATGAACCAGTCTAGGCTGTGAGATTATCAGGCGAGGTCCTTCTTTCAGTCCATCATCATCACAAGCACCACCACCATCACAAGTATCGCTTTTAAAATGTTATGTTTTTAAAGAATTGGTGGTATTGTTTAAACTTTACTGTTTTAATAGCTTTTAAATTTTCCAATTGCATTTTATACAGGTGTAAATTTTAATACTTCGAATAGTTTAATTGTATTTTAATATTTATATTTTGCATGTTTTTTGGTGTTTACATTTTTTATTAATATAAGAGCCGCCGCAAACTAGCGTCTTGGGAGAGCAAACTGTGCCAGCACAGTCGAAGACTCCGCCTCTGTCTCCGCCTATTTCTCCGTGGCCGCGTGGTTTTCCCTTTTCTAGGGCAGCGATGCGAGCGTACTCTCGCTGTTGACAGAATTCAACAGCGAGAGTATGCTCGCATCGCTGCCCTAGCAAAGGGAAAACCACGCGGCCACGGAGAAATAGGCGGAGACAGAGGCGGAGTCTTCGACTGTGCTGGCACAGTTTGCTCTCTCAAGACGCTAGTTTGCGGCGGCTCTAAGAGTTCACCATATTGAAACCCATATCACACACAAAATAAAACCTCTTCCCCACACCCGTGCATCTTTCACCATGGCTTCCGACACTGAAGCACTATGAAGCCTTTAAGCCAATCTATCTATCCTTGTTCATAACCTAATCCCAAATTCCTAATGGTGCTCTGCTATGTCACTGATTCTCCACTCAGATATGTCATGGCCAACTTCCACTTTTCCAAAAAGTCCTCATTACTTTTGTTTCTCCTATTTTTGGTTAATATGGCCATTAGCATATAGTCCTGCATTCTTTCCCTCCAATCCTTTTTGTTGTTGTTCATTCGTTCAGTCGTCTCCGACTCTTCGTGACCTCATGGACCAGCCCACGCCAGAGCTCCCTGTCGGCCGTCACCACCCCCAGCTCCTTCAAGGTCAGTCCTTTTCCAATCCTTTTTAGTTAAACTTTTTCCCCTTTCCCAATTTTTGTGGGAAAGTGGGATATAAATAAATATAATCATCACCTAATTTGACTTGCAAGTAAGTGGATTATAGGATTGCATCCTAAGTGAATAATGTGAAAGTTCCTAGTGTCACAATAATTGGTGCAGTTGAGACTGCAAA